TACTAAGAACTGCATTGTTTCTTGAAATTTCTTAAAGCTCAATTTTGTGCTGTTATGCGTGTACGTATGGTCGGTTCACGAGTTCAGTGTTGTTTTTTTTTTGGCAGATCTAAAACAGTTAACTATCCAGCATAGCCTGGCTTTGCACACAATTTTTTTAACAAAATATTCGATTCCAGAATTTTACAATGAAAATTTCTTTATTTTTGCATTTTAGCATAAATTTCCATGATCTTGCAAGGAAGTCGTGTGCGATTTACTAAGAACTGCATTGTTTCTTGAAATTTCTTAAAGCTCAATTTTGTGCTGTTATGCGTGTACGTATGGTCGGTTCACGAGTTCAGTGTTGTTTTTTTTTTGGCAGATCTAAAACAGTTAACTATCCAGCATAGCCTGGCTTTGCACACAATTTTTTTAACAAAATATTCGATTCCAGAATTTTACAATGAAAATTTCTTTATTTTTGCATTTTAGCATAAATTTCCATGATCTTGCAAGGAAGTCGTGTGCGATTTACTAAGAACTGCATTGTTTCTTGAAATTTCTTAAAGCTCAATTTTGTGCTGTTATGCGTGTACGTATGGTCGGTTCACGAGTTCAGTGTTGTTTTTTTTTTGGCAGATCTAAAACAGTTAACTATCCAGCATAGCCTGGCTTTGCACACAATTTTTTTAACAAAATATTCGATTCCAGAATTTTACAATGAAAATTTCTTTATTTTTTCATTTTAGCATAAATTTCCATGATCTTGCAAGGAAGTCGTGTGCGATTTACTAAGAACTGCATTGTTTCTTGAAATTTCTTAAAGCTCAATTTTGTGCTGTTATGCGTGTACGTATGGTCGGTTCACGAGTTCAGTGTTGTTTTTTTTTTGGCAGATCTAAAACAGTTAACTATCCAGCATAGCCTGGCTTTGCACACAATTTTTTTAACAAAATATTCGATTCCAGAATTTTACAATGAAAATTTCTTTATTTTTGCATTTTAGCATAAATTTCCATGATCTTGCAAGGAAGTCGTGTGCGATTTACTAAGAACTGCATTGTTTGCCAACTCTCAGAAAACAAACGCAGCCTCAGTCTAAATCACAAACCTACTTTCAGCATACAAGTGGCGACGACGGAAATATTTGGTACTTGTAGGTTAATAGTAAGCATTAAAAATCTTAGTCAACCTGTAAGTGGTAGAAATGTCAGTTTTCGACGCGTAAGTTTTCGAATTTGACTCGAGCGAAGAAGAAGATCGTGTACATACAGAGTTATTCCAGACAAACGTACCGCCTGAAGGTGGTTCCATTGTAGAAATCAAATAGACGGGCTAACTTCGGATGGTCCGTTTTTCGTGAACAACCCTGTATATAAGACAGGGTTTTGATAAATTTAATTTCCTCTTGCAACGTCATGTGATAAATGTTTTATATATATTATATATTTTTATCTCCGACTGTCCCTCCTGCCTGAAGGCAGGCACCAAAGGGGAGCTGGTTGTGTCTCTCGTTCTATTATTATTACCGTACTGCAATGTTGCGGTACCAACCAGTAAGATCAGTGGTCAGGTCATTGGTCCTACCTCAGTGTTAATTCAATTCGTTGCCCTTTGGACATAGCGCGGTGCCAACAATGGAAAGTGCCAATGTTATTACAATGCTGTTAAAGAGACCTCTTAATCCTAGAATGGAACTTTGGGGTTCGAAATACCCCACGTGAAATTCGATGGTTGCCAATGTTGACATAGGGTTCTGGTAGAAATTTAATATCTAAAATCGACGACTCTCTCAGCTTCTCTTATATAGGTTTAGCGAGAAGTTACATGAGCAGGCCTGTAACACGTGGAAAAAAAATATTAAGTGTACTCTCGGTCTTTTTTTGCATAATTTTGATGTTTGCTTACAAAAAAAAAAACGAATAATCATCTAACCTTCTGAACGATCCCCATTACTTTCTACATATTTCTGCCATCTCTCGGGCAGCTGTCGAAACTCGGTTCGGAAAGAAGTGCTTTCTTTCGGAAGATTGAAATTTCAATCCCTATACCTTCGGAAGCACTTTCTACGCGTGCTGTAAGACACAGCATTTTCATCTAAGGCGAAGCAAATAACTTCCTTAGCCCCTGCAGCATTTTTCTTCAGTTGGCATACGAAAAGCAGGCAGTGCTTGGAATATTGCTTTTTGAATGACATGGCTTTCACCACTATTTTCTGATTTTATATCAGGAACACTGTCAACTATTATACCTCGTTTCAAAGCTTAAGGATGGTGCGACAGGGAAAAAGTTAGAATTTTAATAGACGCAGTCGTTTATTAAATTTTGGGGCCGAAAATGAAATTTTACATCCTAATATATCACTTTATTATACTGTATTAAAGTTCAAAGGCTTTTGACTTACTGGCTGTACTGGTTAAAGAGTCCACCTCTTCACTAAAGGTTAAACAGTCGTTTCAGTCACTTAGAAGCAATTTCATAGGAAAATCGAATTTTATTGTCTCGACGAAAATTTGTGCTCGTAGACAAACTGGGGCATAATATCATTTTCTGTTTTTTTTTACGAGTTTGACAACGCAAGGTGTTATAACGAATATGTGCTTCGCACCTTCGTCTACCTCGGGATAAGGATCAGCTGTTCGTATACAGGGTAGTCATAGAGTAACTTCCCTATTTACAAATTCTATGAGTAATTAGAAGTTATGAAATTTTTAACTAGGGAACCAACTTTGCGCTCACGCTCTGTGTAAAAGTTTTGTTGCACGGGAACAATCGAGAATAAGGCGGGAATTACGATTAGCCCATCCTTGCTCTTTGAACGAAGTAACTTTCTCATTGTTCAAAATGTACTCATATAGATTGCTTATATTTGTATATACATCGGGTGCGACAGAAAGCATGGAAACTAAAAAGTAAAAAAATAAATTTTTTTTCATTCGCTAAAATTGCTAGCCCTGCCCCTTTAAACGGACAGTGAAATCGATTGATTTGCTTGTACGACAGCGGATGAACGTATGTATCTGTCTGCCATTAATATTTAGGAGGAAATACAGAGTTACGAAATCGCAAAAGTAGAGACGGGAGAGTCACGTAAATTTATTTTTCGCGTATAGTTAAATAATGACGGGCGGCTGGCAGACGAGGGATCTCTAAATATTTGGCCGAGTATATTTATCGACACAATATACAGTATAGCGCATATAGAATATTCACTGGCCAATAGTGTAGGAGCGTGAGACGGCCATGTAAAGCGGATCGGTGGTCTGCTAGATCCGTAGCTAAAAATACGCGACGCAATAAACCCAAGGGTATCGTCCACACGAACGTATCGCGCCGCTTATCTTTTTGAGTTTACACATTTGTTTACAGTAGTGCGAGGCGAAGTGGAAGAAAAATTGATGCTTTGCAAGTTATACCGAAAACTTACTGTATTCATAATTACCAAAGATCTACACTCACTGCTGCAACAAGCCAGAATCGAAGCCCTTTAAGTGCAGGTTAAGACGAGAAAACGACTTTAGGAAAATTACGTGTGATATAATTCGAATTGTAAGCCAGTGCTTAACGACTTGGCGAGTCGCGCTCGGACGTTAAAACTGGATTTATGGACATTGATTATCAGTGTCAAAACAAATTTCTAAAAAATAATACCTATGATTACTCCGACTATAATTTTCGAATTGCACAGCACTGTCGCGAACCTCTAAATTTCACACTGGTACGAGTTCGAAAATCAGCCCAGTGTAGAATTTAAGGGTTAAACATGAAATTAGAAATCCGTCAAAGTGACAAGTTCGGAAAATCTAGTATTAAATCCAGAGGCAAATTTAATTCTCAACTTACTTGTGCATGCTCCTTCCTTTCATGCTTAAAAATTGTTTCCTGATGAAACCACTTGTCGACGATTATATTCGTTTCTCGTAACTATCAAAATCTCTTCGTTTGCCAAACTATATTTCTGCCGAGTATAACACTATTGTTCGGAGCCATTACAGACCGTACAGAGGAGACTGGGACAAGAAGTGGCTCTTAACAATGAATCTATATTATTAAAATCCACGATACTTAAACTATTTATTATTTTTAAATCAAGTTCCTATCATTTATATTACTCGATACAATTATTCAATCCATTTTGACACGATTAGGCTATGACTAATGGCGCTGTGTGTCTCGGTAACTAACGCGAGGCGCATGCGCAGTACAGTCCTGGCGGTTATGAATACGCGCAGCGTAGATTCAAAAAATGAAGCCGGCGCTTTAATTATGAATAAAAGTTTAGTTAAAGATTTTCGTTAAATAACGTAGATATCTGCCAAATGATTTTTTTGCTATCTATATGTTTCACACGAATCTAGCCAAAGAGCACGTGTCATAAAATAAACCAATATTACCCCAAAGAGTAAAATTCAAATAATGGCATCTGTTGGGCGCTTTATATACGCCAACTAAAACATTTAATAGTTATACAAAGAAAAGCTCTACGACAGTTCAATTTAAACGAGCCATTACGTTCTTTGATAAAGTCTTCATACCTGAAAGGAGCGTATTGCATCCGTGGCCGCGTAAGATGATCTCTGCTCTAACCGTAATGCACCTATAGAAAATTGACTGGAAGCATCCTAAGTGAGTGCAGTGCTGTAAGGAAGGGTCGTAGGTGCACATATAAGAGAATAAGGGGGGGGGGGG